TCAGCGAGAGATTTTAGCCTCGCGGTCTCTACTGAACTTGACGAAAGGTTTTTATTTTTCGCCATTTTTAACGAGACGTTTTGAACTCGCGGTCTCTATTGGAACTTAGAGGAAAGGTTTTTATTTTTTCGCATTTTCAGCGAGAGATTTTAGCCTCGCGGTCTCTACTGGAACTTAGACGAAAGGTCTTTATTTTTCGCCATTTTCAGCTCAGCAGATTTTAGCCTCGCGGTCTCTACTGGAACTTGTTGATGGCATCCTCAATAACTTGGTGCACTTTGAAGGTGCTCTTCTCATCGTAGGCTGGGGCGGCACCATAATCACTGTTAGAACAAAAAATGTAATTAATCTTAAGTTACTAAAATTATTTGTCTCTGTCTCATATTGAAAACCTAATTCAGTGATCCATAATGCCATTTACTATAATTACAATTTGCGCTCGACAAACTATATACTGTACTATATTTTCAATCTATATACATTTTACCCTATATCAAAGTTATATATCCACACACGCACTATCTATATCTATCTATCTATATCTATCTATCTATCTATACTATATATTATGTATGTATGTGCCCGCATATGTATATTTGTACACACTCATACCCTACTTGTTACGAATAAAGCCAAAAGACAATACATAATACCATACAGTATTATGAAATAAAGAAACCTCATGAAAATCACCTGTAATGCACAGATAAATAAATAAATAAACTCGTAAAGATAGAGAATACATAATACCATGTAATGAAAGAAACCTCATGAAAATCACCTGTAATGCACAGATAAATAAAGATAAATAAACGTAAAGATAGATACGAACCAAACATGCCCCATAAATAAAAAGTGAAGATAAATAAATAAATAAATAAACTTGTGAAGATAAACAAATAAATAAATAAATAAATAAATAAACTCGTGAAGATAAATAAAACACAAAAATAAACAAACTCGTGAAGATAAATAGATAAATAAATAATAAATAAACTCGTGAAGATAAATAAACTCAAAAACAAACAAATAAATAAATAAACTCGTGAAGATAAATACCAAAGAACCAAACATGTCCCACACGAAGCGATAAATAAATAAATAAATAAATAAACTCGTGAAGATAAATAAATAAATGAACAAACAAACAAACAAATAAATAAACAAACTCGTGAAGATAAATAAATAAACAAACAAATAAATAAATAAACTCGCGAAGATAAATACCACAGAACCAAACATGTCCCACACGAAGCGAAACTCACGTGGCGGAGACGTATTCGTAGGGCTGAGCGACCTCGGCCGACGTCCCGGAGAGCCCCAGGAGAGATATGAGCAAGAGCAGACCGACGAAGATGACGCCGATGTACACGAGGGAGTCGACGCCGATGGTGACGGATTTGTCGGCGTTTTCGAAGAGAAGTCGTGCGTCGTTTTTGTGGGCGGCGTCGGCTGCGTGCGTGAGGGCGGCCAGGGCGAGGAGGAGGGCGGCGAGGGTGATTCCTGCAAAGGGATGGTTCGGTAGTTATGATATATGATATATATAGTATATGGGATGGGTCAGTAGAATGTTGATATTGATGAATTATAACAGAGACAATACTACTGATAGAGACTTTTGAGAAGTTTATCAAGACAAACAGTTACAGGACAGACAGGGAGACGTACATGGAGATAACAGACAGACAGACAGACATACAGACAGGCAGATGTACATGAAGATAGGCAGACAGGCAGACAGACACGCAGACAGAGACAGACAGCCATAAAAGAGAGAGAAACATAGGAAAGTAGAGAGAGAAGAGAAAAGAATGGAGACATAAACCCACAAAAAGAAACAGACAAAGAAAAACGGTATCTTTAATCCCCCAAACTATATTTCTTTCCAAATAGTCTGAATTCCTCACTTAATCTGACCTAGGAAAGTAAATCGAATTAGGATATAATCTAATCCACAATAGCTGAAAAAAAAAAATAAACAAAGTAAAAAATATCCCTAATTTCCCTTATCCGAACAGTTCCTCACACCGACACGACATTAGTATATCTAAAAATCAACTAATATATTCACTATAAAACAATAAAACTAATATATTCATTATAAACCATATAATTACATTATAAAACCATAAAACTAATATATTCACTATAAAACCATACGCATATCATAACTATACCTAAACATCAACTAATACATTCACTATAAAACCCTTACCACGCATTAGCACTAAATAAACTAAGCCTTAAACCATACCGTGAGAGGTCATTGTGTAGCGCAAAAGCTCAAGAAGCGGAGCAGGACAAGCAGCAGAGTAGGTCCTTACTCGATGGTGTTCACAGGGTGACTGGTTCCTCAAGCGTCCCCTTGCTTACTTAAGTAGTCCTACGGGGGAGACAAAGTGTACCTGCATTGACGTTACACTTTCTGTTTTTGCGGCAGGTGGGGGCTGGGAGGAGGACATGTGCGCGTACCGTGTGTGTGTTATGTGGATGTATGGAC